CGACCAAACAATAACAGGTGTGAAACAAACGTCCTAGAGAACCATTCAGGCAATCATTGGTGAATTGATATTGCAAACACAGCAAGCATCAACTCAGGTGATATGTTATTGTTACAATGAGTTTAACACTTCACGGGATAAAAAGGTTCAATTCTTGTAACACCTTCTTTCAAACCTTAACACGACCTTTGCTGAATGAAACTAACTTCAGAAACAGCAGCCATAACAAACAGGCTCAAACATCTCAACTGAGTAATTCTAACAACTGCTCCACATCCAAATCTCAATCCATGATAAAGGATCTGTTGCTTAGGAAAAAACAACTGCAGCAATCTAGTGCAAACAATATGTAGAGAATCACATTCTGCAGCATGAATAGTTGAGCAGCTCCAGAGGTACATTCAGATCTCTCAAAAGACTACAGAAGACACCATAATTCAGATGTGACTGACCCTGTGATCAATTTTGAAGCAACTTTTACCATCAAACAAAAAATACAGCATCTATCTGACAGTTTGTATAACACAACCATCTGTTCCATTTGTTCCTCTTCCTCTTCTAACTCAAATACAATCCCGTAAACAACATTTCACCAAATACCATCCAAAACTAAATCAGCAAGGATACATTTAACCATTAATCTTCCCACAACCAGTGGAGTTTTACTCAGTTCCATGATCTCAAATTGTCACCAAAATCATTTTCTACTGCCAATTTGCCTTTCAAACAACAGGGCCAGTGTCTCACTTGCCTAAGTTTTACTTTAGCAAATTGTAAAATGCCTTTAGAGTGTCAATAATTGTTCATATTTAGTGGCATACATTGAGAAAAGTTGTGCCCTAGTCCCAGAAATACTAACAGGAAATTTTTTTAACAAGAACATTAAAGAGAAAGAGAGAGATATACATCAGAGAAAGAAGTGATGCAAGTTATAGTTGCAATCGATGCGCATGTTGATCAACCATCAATGTGCCAAGTCTGCAACATTTATTATGACAAAGATCAAACACCCTGGTGCACATTGTGCTTATGAATACACATGGAATGTTAAGGCCATCACTCAGTGCTGCCAAGAAACCATTCATCGCTTAAGCAGTTTAACAGGCATCATGGAATTTTCTAAAAATCCTCAGCTGAAAGATCAGAGACTGCCGAGTTTCTCACAATGTACTGAGAGAGGCCAGCCATCTGAAGAAATGGTCAAGCATGCACCTGAACCTTCACATTATGCATCCTTTATCCCTTTCGGTGCATAATAATAGATAAATCAATTATCCAAAAAATCCACTCCCTCTCAATTCCAAGTTTCACTTAAGCGCCTAATTGTACTAAACAAGACTTACACAAAACTAAAATTTTTCATTGATATGCAATGCAGAGCAGAGAACATTAAACCAAGCAGCCTAATCTTTCCTCAAAATGCTGCATGGTGCTGATATTAATCCACAAATATAGCTGAAACTGAAAGAACCTAGCAAACGTTTGATTACATATACTTCATTTCAGACAGTGTCTTGGCCAACAAGCATCTCATCAAACAATAAACAAGCCTTACATCACCACCACGGGCATGCAAGGTGAATTACCTTATATACCTGTCTCAAATGGGCAAGCCATCAGGGTACGACATAGATGTAATATTAGTGAAGAGTATCTATCTGTCAATGTCAAAAGCCAAAACAAGCAATTCAACCCAACTTATCTCTTCCAGCCTACTGAAGATTGACTGCTCCATATGAAGATCTCAAGGCTCAAAGACTTTCAAGCCTCAAAGAAGCAACTTATCAGTGACATGCAATGGCATCAACCAGCACTAAGCTCATAACAATGGCAAAATGACAACAGCGGATGGCATTATCCTCCAAAAAGACCAAACTAGTAGAGGTGTCTATATCTGCTCACTGATATAGCCAGATAAAAAGCAAACCTTCTTTTATGCTTACCAGCTTGAAGAACACATATAACACGTCTCCTCCTCACATACACAAAAGAGTGGAACGGAGATTGATATTCACACAAAGCCAAGAAACGAAGGAGGTCTCACCGTGATACATAAGAAGAAAGTATGGAGTCAATGAGAAGGACAAAGATAATAATACAATAAATTGGTACAAAATATTCAGTCTCACAAAATAGACACGCTGATAGAACATCAGCACTGCCATGTTATGTTCGCACAGATAATAGAGGACATCTATTTTATTTACTTAGGTACCGCTTCTTGCATGGAGAACGGTAATATCCTTAAAGATTTATATTGAAGTTCAAAAACTTCATTATAAAATTAAATGCCAAATAAAGCATCAAAGTGTCTTTCTTCAGCTACTAAACAAAAAGAAACCTATGAACCATCTTAAAGATATGAAGATTCAGACCAAAGGCAGCTTAGTTTGTAACAATTTTACGAAAAAATAAAATTATATCACAGTTTGCAGTGTTAATCACAAAATCATAAAGAATATTCTATAGTGTTAATCATTTTTTCTTATATCAGTCAGAGGCACCAAACAGATGAAGCAACAGATGTATCACAAGAAAAACCTAATCGAATTGCCGAAAACATTGGAGGATGAGGGAGCGGTCCATACTTGAGTCTCGATAACCTTTCCGAAGCGACTAAACTCGGCCTCCAGCCGCCTCTCTGTTGTGTCCCACGATAAGCCTCCCACAAAGATCCGGTTTTCTTCCTTCGCAGACATCTCTGCTTCTGTTCCCTCCAAAGAATCTACAAAAACAAACAACAAATTCGAAAAATAAAAAAAAACATCGTTCAAAAATAACCTAGAAAACAATCAGAACAACAGAAATCCAAAATGTAACGATCCCCCACTCGACACACAGGGATCCACGAGGAAGAAGCCAATACCCTACCGAGAAGAGGCGGAGCGACGGCCGAAACCCTAAAAGCCATAGCCAGATCGGCGTAAGCTTATATACAACGACGAATTTTCGGTAGAATGCCTCGCGGTATGAATTTAATCTTAAGATGATACATAATTAGGCCCGTTTATAAGTGGATTTCGCGTCCTGGTCTTGCCCTTATTGAACCGCTTCGAGTTCTGGTCGAGTCACGTTGAGAACCAACCACTTCGAATTCCGGTCGAGTCCTGTTCGGATTGAACCGCCTCGACATCAAGTTTGAGTCCCGATAGAATGAATTAATTGCATATTTTATGTATTATTATTGACATTGCCACTAATACATATAAATAGGATTAAAAATATATTTTTAGTAGAATTTGAGATAGAATTTGGATTCTTGATCGTTATCCAACGGTTCGTACGAACCCGACGCGCACAGAACACACTGGAGTTTTCTTGACGGCGCGAGAAGGTGGTCGCCCGAGCGTCCACGTGTCTTGTACTTCCACATATTAGCCGACTCCGGAACGTTCCCATCCTTCTCCGACCCTTCCCGATCTCTCTTTCCCTTCCGATGCCTCTGTATAAAGCACCGATGTCTGCATTCGATCCTCCACAGCAAGCGGTTCACAGTCGTTTCTCTTCTTAGTTATCCGTTGATTGCTATGGCCTCAGCGACTACCTTACCAGGCCTTGTCCTACGCCCTTCTCCTCTGCTTTCCGGGCAAGCCTTGCGCCGGAAGCAGCGCCAGCCTTCGACAGTAGCATCTCCATCGCCTTCTTGCCGTCGCCGGCTCTCGGTATCGGCCTCCGCGGCGCCGCAGAGCAAGGAGACCTCCTCCTCCATCGACGTGCACGTCAACAAGGACGCTAAAGCCGGGAACGGCGCCGCCATAGAGCAGCGGCGTCGCCGGTCGGGCTTCGACGTCTCGCCTTTTGGTAAGTAGTTTGCTTGATGACTGCCTGTTTGTATCCTTCGAATTAAGGAGACAACTTCACGGTCACTATATCTGCAATCTGTTTCTGGAACACCGAAGGTTTGGTTGATGCTGTGTCGCCCATGAGGACAATGAAGATGATGCTGGACACGATGGACCGGCTGTTCGAGGACGCGATGTCCTTCCCCGGGAGCAGCACGGGGGAGATGAGGCCGCCGTGGGAGATAAAGGAGGAGGACAACGAGATCACGATGAGGTTCGACGTGCCGGGGCTGTCGAAGGAAGAGGTGAAGGTGTCGGTGGAGGACGACGTACTGGTGATCAAGGGGGAGCACAAGGAGCAGGAGGCAACGGCGGCGGGGGAGGAGTCCAAGTGGAGAGGTTGGAGCTCCAGCTCCTACGACTCCCGGTTCCTTCTCCCCGACAACTGTGACAAGGAGAAGGTGAAGGCTGAGCTCAAGAACGGGGTGCTGCTGGTCGTTATCCCCAAGACGAAGACGGATCGCAAGGTCATAGACGTTGAGATCCAGTGACGCCATGGAAGCTTTGCAGATGTTAAGCTCCTACAAGGCTGTCTTGTTAATTTCCACTCTTAATCCTGTGTATGCAGTTTCTCTGCTCCGGTAATATATTATTACGCCACTAACACTGTGCTGCACAATGATACTTAGGCATGTTCTAAGCAGTCTCAAGGTTGAAGATGATGTGATTTGTGTCGGAGATTTTTTTAAAAAAATATTAAAAATTCTTTCTTACTAATAAATATTTTTTAAAATTAAAACTATTTGTTTTTATATGACTTAATTAATGTTTTATAATTTAGATATTGTCACACATAGTTTGAAATGCACTTCAAATTTAAGGGGTGTATGTGTCTAAGAAATGATTTTAAAATAAATTAAAATTGTAATCAAAATAATGAGAAGATGTAATTTTGCAAAATCAATCCTTATAGTATTTCATAAAATAAATTATTATCATGCTGAAGCCTTTGTGTTGATCAATAAATAAGGAAGTCAACGTTGAAGTCAAAGATTTATGTCAACCTCTATTTTCCAGATATTTCTGAGAGAAATAAATAAATAAATAAATAAAATGGAAAATAAAAAATCCTTTGCTCCTATTTTCCAACCGCCAACTCCTCACCACTCGTTCGCTCCAAGCGATGGAGCTCT